CAGGGAAAAGGGCGGCCTACAAATTCTAATAAAACTATAAAACTATAAACTATTAAGATCCCTGCACTCCTGGAGCTATCACAGCAACTGGGATCGCTGCGATTGCCACAAAAATCATGTGATTTTTGTGCTTTACTACCACATTATTTAGGGAGGTAAATTGCAGTCCCAACTGCCACTGGGCCAGAGTACTCCCTGTATCACAGTGCACAATGTTGGGGAGAAAAGAGAAAGCAAAAGCAAAAGAAGGACGATAAAGTGTCTGGAGGTTAAACCATATGAGGAATGGTTGAGGGACCTAGGGATATCTAGTCTATTAAAGAAAATGATTGGAGGGAGGACATAAGGAGCTGTCGCAGAGAAGGGTCAAGCTATTTTCCAAAGCTCCTGAGGGCAGGACAAAAAGGAACAAGTGGAAAATCATTAAAGAGAGAGTCAAGCTGGAACTAAGAAGGAATTTCCTGACAGTGAGAACAGTTGATCAACAGAACGGTTTGCCTGGCTGGGTGTTCCATTACTGGAGGTTTTCAAGAAGTGACTGGGTTGGGATGCAATAAGGTCTCCTGCCTTGGGCAGAGGATTGGACTAGAAGTCCAAGGTCCCTTTCAGCCCGATGATTCTATGATCACAGACAAGATGCCTGGAGCACTGGTGGCAGAAGTAAAGGACTGAGGAACACTAAACACTAGAATTAACTCATGTCTGGGCAATGAGAGAATTGGAAGGTCAACATTTCTCTGGTTTGAAGGCTTTGGGGGGGGAAGTGGGGGGAATCCATGGTCATGGCTCAAGCAACTGGTTGGAGGCTTTCCCTACAATTCATGGTGATTTGCATAAAACAATTCAAATTGCTCCTTCAGGCATCCATTAGGGTGAGAGGGATTAATTGTTCTTCAGGAAGAGGTAGTATTCCTAAAGACTCTAGCTCTGCATGCAGACAACCTCCAAATTTCACTTTTTGGGAAGATTTTGGAGAAATCTTAGGTAGGGAGTCATTATCCCAGATGAGGCAGATTAGCTGAGGTTCATCTCTGTATCTGGATTTTATTTATTTATTTATTTATTTATTTATTTATTTATTTATTTATTTATTTATTTATTTATTTATTCATTCATTCATTCATTCATTCATTCATTC